GAATGCTCAGGCTTAGACTAGCTCATGATGGGCCCTTGCTCAGCTGTCATTTGTGAGTGCCAGTGTGGCAGCAAGTGTCAGAGTTGGCCCCTTGAACATCTGTTGTCCTCTTTGAAGTCTCTGCTGATTCTCCCAAGTCAGAACCCTTACTCCTCTGAGGTCCCAGGGCATCTTCTGTCTCCACTCATCTCCCTCAGCTTTGTTGCTAGTAGTTCACTGTCTACATGTCTGTTTCTTCTACTGAAGAAGTCTCTTGACAGCAGAGACCTACGCTCAGCTATCTCAGTTTTATCATAATTTATAGGTTGTGTCCCACTTGTCAAGTTGCTCAGTCCATCTTGCTGAACTGAACTGAACTAAGCTGGCTGTGTCCAGGGAAACCCTGCCGTTAGTGTCCTGTTTATAGATCATGTGCTCCGTCATGAGACAGGAGAGTATCCTTGGCGAAACAGAGCGTCATCAGAAGTAACACACTGGCCTGTTGTGTGGTTTTGGTTTTTGGACAAGTTTTGTTGAGATATAATTCACACACCCTATAGTGCCTCCGTTTAAAATGTATAGGTCAGTGGTTTTCAGTATGTTCACAGATGCCATCACTACAATTAATTTTTTAAAGCTTTCATCATCCCAAAAAGAAACCCTGTACCGATTCCCTCCAGCCCCGCAGCCCTAGGCCACCACTAATCTATTTTTTGTCTCTATAGATTTGCCTCTTATGGACATTCCATGCACATGGAATCATACAATATGTGGTATCGTGTGCCTGGCTTTTTCCCCTCAGTGTGATGTTTTCAAGGTGTGGCCATGCTGCTGCACGTATCAACCTTAAGGCAAGGTGGTGTGTATAGAGCACCTAATACAATGCCTGTCAAGCGAGGGTCTCAGTAACTATGACTTCCCTGTGTCCCACTTCAAGTTCTTAGCTTTTAGTAAGAATTGGCCAAAGTAAAGCAATAGATAGCGTTGTAAGTGGTGTTCTGAGTTCAGTGTACTGATTCCTCCCCCCACCCTTTGTTTTTGTTCTCCCCAAGGCTATGCCTTTCTGCTGTTCCAGGAGGAGAGCTCAGTGCAAGCTCTGATCGATGCCTGCCTGGAGGAAGACGGGAAACTGTACCTGTGCGTGTCCAGCCCCACCATCAAGGATAAACCGGTACGTAACAGGCAGCCAGCTGTTGCTTTTCTAGAGCACATGTGCCATTGTAATGGGAATGCTGGTAACTGGGATCCTCTTACCCGGGGTGACCTTGCTGTGCAGTGGAGCTGGACTGTCATTGATGGGACGCTAATAACAAATTACTCAGTACTTCGTTTTATACCTTTGGGACCGCATGCAAACACATGTGCCCTTGTCTTTCACTTTACAGCTCTTTTAAGCTAATTCCTATTCAGAATCTCTTAATTGAAGTAAATAATGCTCTTAATGGTTTTGGCAGCTGGTTTGTATTATTATTTCAGATCAAGGACAGGGGTAATTTTTTTTTAAAGATCATAATTGTCAGTGTTTATGTGCCTTTGAATGGGAGGCATTGTGCTGAGTACCCACAGCTGGCTAAATCGAGCCTCTGGGCCAGGAGCGTACACTCTACAATGGAGAGCTTGGAACAGGGCAGGGGAGGGGAAGGACAGGGAACATGGACCCAAAACCATAAACAAATGTACACTAGTACAGGGTGTGGTTACTGAACCAAAGAGTATAAGTCCTTGGGTGAGAGAGGAAGCTGCTTCCTTTCTCCTGGCAGAGTGGGTATGAGTGGAGAAGGGGCAAACCTATGTTCTGAGCAGAAGAAAAGAACTCAGTTAACACGGAAGAAGTAAGGATCTGTGGGAAGGTGGGGGTGGGGGGGTGAGTTTGTATGTCGAGACTTGGTGCTAGGAGAGGGAAATAGAGTACAAATAGTGATGTGGTCCAAGGCATGGATCTTCCTTGGGGCCTGCAGCATCCCCTATAAGACTTACACCAGAAGAAGGGGGGCTCGCTTGGCAACTAGATGCACTCTCAGAAATGTGCATGGGGAAACAGTTGGGGTTGGACTTAAAAGTTAGAGTCTTGTCTCTAACATTTAAATATCTTCTTGGCTGTGAATAAACACCTAATTCTTGCTGAATCTTGGTTTCCTCATTTGTACAATGGGAAGAATAATGGTCCCTCTCTGGGATGTCAAGAGGCTCAGATAAGAGGGAAATGATCGTGAAAACATCTGGCGAGGTCAGGTACTTGTGTAACTGGATGTGCTGTTAGTCTAGCGTAGTGCTTTTGGATTCAGAAGAGTGAGGATAGAGCTTATCTACATGGGAGCATCTGTTGAAAAGAGTGGTGACATCTAGGACAGGGTCTACAGTTGGTTGCACAAGAATGATGCTGGACTTGGCCACCTCTAGGAGGGAGGCTGCAGTATGTAAAGCAGAAGGGAGGGTTAGTAAAGAATGGAGATGTTGAGCATAATAGAATAATTGATGCAGAAGGAGAAGCCAGGATTTTAATACATGTGAAGTGCTACTGTAATTTTCAAATTCTGGGGCCATTAAACATTTTTTATAATAACAATTAGCAGTATTAGATAAGGTAGCATATGAGGCAGGGGGAGAGGAATAAAGAAACAGTATGTGGGGAAAAGGAGTAGGGAACCTTTGTTAACTTTGGTCTTAATTTAAACAGTGTGGAGAGGCCTGGCGTTATGAGGGAGACATGGGGACTGACTACCAGGGGAGCGTGCAGGGTTTCATCTGAGTGAAAAGCAAGAAAGCTGAAATAACTTCTCTCAATCTCTGTGGAATAGTGTGAGATTAGGAAGACTGAACCCAATTGGTCAGGGTCAGATGTCTGGCAGGTAAACAGCCAACCTCTAGAGATCATCTGCCACTTCACATCAGTGGAAGGGGAGTGGGGTGAGCTAGAAAGGGCTAAGGTGGGATTGATTGGTCATACACTCTAGGAGGCGATTAGAAATATATTTATTTTTATTTAAAAAGGCAGAAAGGCAGAGGTACACATTGAGAGAGTTATGCCCATAGTAGACTAAGAAGCAGTTGGATTGAGGGGAGGAAATGAGAGATGAGCTGATGGGTCTTGTATACCTCGGATGGCTCGTCACTGGCTCTCTGGGAGGATAATATTCCTTGTGGGGCAAGCCTCACCAGGACTGGGCATCTCTTGAGAGGGGAATGAGCAGTGGTGGTTGCAGATGGAGGTGGTATGGAGGCAACACCATTACTGTTGAGTGTTTTCACTCCAAATACGTGTTACCTTTGGCTTGAGGGACTTCTGAAAATAATTAGTGTAATTATCTGTCTTGGAAATGTTTATGGAGAAACTAACTTTCCTTGTTTGTGTTTTCTACAAATTTTTGCCTTATTGCAGTTTTCACTTTCTGAGCTCAAGTGAAGCAGTTTATTGGAGCTCAGTGAATTCTGAATGGTGGCTGCCGATCACATATTTCTTTGACCCAAGCACACTCAGAGTTTCCAGCATAAACAATTTGAATAAAATTTAGGCTGGGAAACAAAGAAATCCCCAAACACCTGTAATTCGAAGGAGCTGGATCCCATTTTGGGTTCCAACTCTTTTGGCTCCATTTTTGAACCCTTCTCTTCCTGTGCCTCAGCTCTACCTCTCTCCCTCCTGGCCTCGTTTAGCCACACTTCCCTCCCAGGTTTCGACACCTCCCACCTCACTTTGGATGCTCCCACAGAAAGTGAGAGCCGGGGCGAACCTTTGGGAGTAAATGAGGACCTTGGCAGTAGCTCAAAGTAAAGTCAGCATTTGGAGCTCATTTGCCAAACTCTCTGAGCTATGGCTCTTTCTACTTTTTCTGCTTCTTAGCTTGGCTACCTTTCAGTATCCCAGTGCCCTCATTCTGCTGTTTAGTTCTCTCCAATCCTCCCTGGATTTCTCCTTGGAACTATACCATGTTCCAAAATGACCTCACAGATTTTCTATCCTTTGTCCTTCCCCTAACCTCCCTCCCCAGCTCCCACCCGCACCCCGCATCCTCCTGCATCAGACCCCGTTCCCTTTGTGTGGATTAGGTTAATCAAGATTCTTTTCCTAGTACAGAACCTGATAGCGAGGTTCCCTCTGACTTGAACCTTCTAAGATCATGTTTGTTTTTAACTCAAACGAATCCCTAATTAGTGGATTTCAGGTAGTGTTCCTGTTTTTGGTCTGCGATTACCTTTCATTAAATGGCTCCACTCAGACTGCTCTGTGAGCTGGACTGATCCTGAAAGGTGGCGGAAGAAACTTCGTTCGTGGCCGGATTGTTTGACTCCTCGGGCCCAAAGAAATGGTAGTCAAATCGGCAAGAGCAGGAACTATGACAAAATTCCTAGATATATGATTTTTCCTCCTCCAGCAAGATCAGTTCCATAGCTCGATGTCCCAGACATCCCTGAGGACGGCTCTGCCCTCATCCAGGCCTGCGGTGAAGTGGGCAGACACTGTGACCGTGGTCCCTCTTGTTAAGGTGACACTACTTTTTGAATGTATGAATAGATTGAACCTGAAAGTTCAGGACAGCAATCTGATAGAGCAGGAAGCCTGGGAGGGTCTAACAGAGATAGGGGCTGAAAAAGAGAAACTTGAAAAGGAGGCGAGGAAGGAGAGATTTATGCTTCTTACCTTCTAG